CTATTGTTGCAAATGATCAATTATTTATTTCATTCAACCGTGAAAAAGTTGTATTTCTCGGTTGTATTAAGCTGAGGATAAAAATATTTTTATTTAACGCAATAAAAATAGGCCTAGACAATGTAGTGGTTTACTCAGGTAGTATTTCTTTTAAAATAATGTTTATTCACCTGAATTTTCGGCCTGCATGCTTAAACAAGAGCAGACTTCGGATTGAATCTTAGTTGTCCTGGTACAGTCCTTTGGGCAGATGAATAACTGACAGTGCGGTTGTACAAAGATATTAATGACTCAGTTTGAAAGTCAATATTTTGCGCAGCAGGCCTCGTATTTAGGACTTGTGCAGTATTTTTTATTCACCAGGTATCCTTGGAAACCATTCCAGTCTCTTTGAACTGCATGAATTAAAACGCCTTGAACCAAAAGTCTGATAATTTATCACTACAACCAAGCGAAACGACACTTTGTTGTAAAAATGTGTAGGAAACATTGGAAGGGCGTCGGGTCTCGTCAGCGCTTCAGAACACTTAACTTGTTTTTGGTCTCGGCGAAAAGCGTGTTAATGAAGTCGATGTTTGTTGCTAGCCAGACTTTCAGTCGTTAAGAAAAGAATAACCAATCGAGGAAAGAATAGGAAACTTGTTAATTTATTTGTTTACCCCAAAGAGACATTTACCGAGTTTAATTCCCAGGGAGACGATTAATACCAGAAACATCTTTAACGGATCGCAGACCATCGTGGGTCAGTGCACCGAAAGCTGATGTGTGCATCGAGAACAAGCCTGCTGTGGTCAATAATTGACAGCTATCAATCACAAGAACATGAATCGCTCTTTAATTGGCCCTAATCGTTAAATTAGATTACGCTAGTCAGGCTAGGACAAAGTCGTACGCGGTTGTAATGAAAATTCAGCTGACGTGCAAAAGCGTTGCCGATCAGTAACAAGCCAAGCAGATGTTTCAAACACCGGGTAATTACATACATATTGATCTGAAGGGAGCCGACTCTTCGCAACTAAGATACACGACGAATTTACACAAGAACGCGGGGCAATCGAGCGCATTTCCGTAAAAAACTTGATTTTGAAGGCTATACGATCGATCACCTTCGCGTTCATCAAAGATATTCACAATTTCTGGTGAGTTTTGTTTTACAATATTTAGCCCCGTTGTCTTTACGATAGTTACAATCAAATTTCATCAAGGAGTATGCACTGTAACATATTTTTTTTAAGTAGAATGTAAGTGAAAAGGAATCACCAGTGTTTCATTCTAGGCATATAAACGGAAGAGTTTAGGTTTACGAGGACAAAAACAATCGTCTTCGCAAACGATGTTTCATTTTCGTAAGTCGGCCCTCGATTTCGAGTACGTCAGCAATAATTCCCGTCCGATCTCCCTGTGTATTTTATGCCAGAATTTCCATGTAAACTGACTATTAAGAATTTTCTTTAAACGAAATTTTACGTTCTAAACCGTGTAATTGCTAACAACTACTGAGTGTTCAAATCGTGAAAAGGTGAGCAGTAATCAACGACCATTCCATGTCGATTTAGAAGCTCTCCAGGCAAATTGTATTTCGAACAACTCACCAAGAATTGTTTATTGTTTTAACTATATTCTTGTTATATTTCAACGTACCATCTCAGCTTCTGATTTTCGCCGATAAATTTTTTCCTCCTGTCATTAATTTTAATTTCCTTGTTCTAGTCAGTCAAACTCCTTTTTCTCAACGCACGAGATGAAATTCCGCTTGATTTTACCCATAACGAGAATGAGAAACCGCTCACTTGGCACGTCAAAAAGCACTTCAAAATGTTGATTGTTGCAGTAATATGTGAAGAACTAAAATGCAAATTATGCTCGAGGCTGTTGCATTAAATTAAGATTGAGTTTTATCACTAAAATGTTTATCACATCCAAATTCAAAGGTTGGATTACGGTTCGATATGATTTAGTATCACTCCGGAATATTACAAGATCTTAATGAGAAAATCAAAAAACATTTTCGATCACAGAGTTGTCGATTCGGATCGATATTCTCTTTACTAAATTTCGCTTTTGTATAAACGGACGTTTTCGCTAGACAACCATTGACATCAAATTTACCTTTTTTCTGGCGTGCTGTCGTATATAGGAAATACTTTTGTTGCAGTAATTTGTGTTTTTCACTGAGCTCTGGGGTGGTCTTTGACTTGAATATTAAAAATACTGAAAACAGATACAGCTTTTGTACAAACGCGTAAATTAAAATTGATCAGCCGAGCAACACCCATAGATGTTGTCTACCATCATTGTTTACAACGCAATCTGGGTTGCGGGATGTTTAGTAACTGTGATTTTACTGTTAATAATATTTAATTATTTTGGTGCCTTTGTACTTATTGCTAGTAAATTATTTTTAATACCAAAATTACTAGAAGCCAAAGTTCGAAGTACATTCTGTTAGCTAAACTTGGGGATCTGAACGCGGTTGCAGCTCAGCTAAGATTTCGTTTCAAGATTTATCTACTACACTCAGACAAAAATAAATTTAGTTCCTTGAGATCAACTGAATGGGAGCTTGATTCAAAATAAAGCGTTTGATCGACAGCTAGAAGCGGTGAGACAAAAGCAGGGGAAAAACTGTTATTTTCTCGGTATGAAACGCGACGTAATTATAAATACTGTAAACATATCTTTTTTCGTGGGTCTCGAATTTTATCAATCGAAACGCGAAGGCCGCATCGATATCGGTAAAAAAACGAAACTTACAGTGGGACTCTATCTTCTATTAAACAGCCATGAGAGTGTTATCGTGCTTTTTCCTGTCTATATTAATGCCTCGTTTCCTTCGTTCATTTTGACAAGACCATTCCCGAACGTAGCCATCATCCGGTCTTACACGCACTTATTGAAGTAAATTGTACATTGTTACAAATTTTCACCGCCTTCGCTGCAATCTTGCGTGCAGACAGTTTTTTTTTTCAGTTCTCGGGTGGTTATATTTTCGCACAAACGATCTCAGTGGGTTTTGTTTACCAATCACCATTATCAAAGAGCCGAACTTCACCGGCTATATAAACAGAAACATGCTTTAACAATGAAAAACAGTAAACAAATCGCTTACAAGAAACAATCTTACACGTTTCTCGGCTGCCAATGCCACTGCTCAAGTGTAATAAAAAATTTTCCTTTGGTTATTTACTTTTTTTTAATTTTTGCAGACCAGAACCGCTTTTGTGGGTTTGTTCTGCTTGAAACTTATCTGACCATCATTGATTCTGAGGTTGTTGTCAAGAAAAGCTTGTTTCGCAGGTAATTTCCGGATAAGCAAGTTTCTCTTCATGTTGGCGCTAAAAACCTAAGGCATCATTTAGCAATGCCTCAAAATAAAGATAGCATATCATTTATTGCTGGCTCAAAGGTTTCGTTGAACCGTAGAGGCATAAACAGAGTAGCTTTTCACCTATACAGCTCTCACATGATCACATTGAAGCCATTTTTTCAAAGGTGAAAGAATCTCAGTCGACAACAACAAATAAATAAAAGCGCGAATCAGAGATGTGATTAAACGTTTGATCGCCATACGGAGAGATCAGTAATCTTTTTTAAAGCTTTAGGGCTTTTCACTATTGTGATTATGGACTGATCGATCTTTCAACAAACGGAAACAGGTTGGAAAGGTGATTTAAATTTAGAAATGAAATGATCAGGTGGTAAATGGTAAAAAATCTGCAGGAAATTCAATTAGAAGGTGAAAATTTATATGGGTTCTAGTAAGCGTGTCCTGCTGAGGAAAATAAATAGTCTCGGATGGATAAAGGTTATTCAGGAAATTAATCTGTATAATCTCATTCCTTTCCTTTTTCTTTCACGATCGATAAATACCAGTTTCCTTGTCAGGGAAGACGCTAACTTTTCTTAATTGTAGCCTTGTTAGTTAAAAGGAGCCGGTTGGTTAGGTATTTTTACCAATTTTCCTCGGCCATCTGTATGAGATGATTCCTGTCTCTCTTTGCATCATCCGTCTATTTCCAATTGTTGTAAATAGCAATTTCTCTTTCACTACTTTCAAATGAGCAGCTCTTAGACTTTTTGGCGGGAAACTGATCGGCAGAGATTTGGAACATGTAAGAACAATGAACATTATTTCTGGAATATTGCCATATGTCTCAAATTAAAATACATGCAATTTTCTTTCTTTTCAACTATGTAGATTATAATCTGCTATTTAAAAACGTTATGAAAATAATGCGAAATTTTTGTAAAGTATGCGATCACAGCAGGTTGAAATATCTCAACACGATCCGTCATATTTGATTTGAGCCAGAAAATTCTCTACTACAGCAAAGTACATGTATTTTAAAAATAAAAACAAAGTGTCATTCTTGTCGCTTAAAATCTGGCATTTCGTTCTCGAATCTTCAAAGACCAATATAATCTCGATGTCTTTGTTTTCCTAGTGTTTTCGTAATGAAGTGTTCGTCTCATCGGCTCCCAAGGGATTGCGGTCTATTTACAGTTGGAACTGGTCTGAACAAGATTACCATAGTGGTAGATTAGACCTCTCTTGATTTGTTGTTTTCTGCAGGTAGAAAGGAGTTCATTTGGTAAAGTTCTCGTTGAATTTCTGCTGCTGTGTGGCTGGAAAAGATTCGCAGCGTAGTGTAATGCCGTCTTGTTGCTAACGAAGTAAAAATTTTGTATTATTCATGAGGCTGCCAAACCAGGATGCCTTTCAAATGAACCCAACCGGCTGGGACATTGGACCGTAACTCTCTGAGAAGTCAGACAGTCAGGTACAGTTGAAGCCGCCCTCTCAATGTCAGTATCGGACTGAAAGTATGGAAATATGGATAATCAAACTGTTGATCTGTCAAACTTAACTGGGTTGCTTTAACTGCTTGGACAAGCCATCCATGTTGTTGTTGTGTTAAGAATTTACAGGGAGTATTGATCGACGATTGTAACCTGGCTGAGACCACAACTCTGGATAGTCGTGGATAGTTTTATTAGAATTTCTAACCGCAAAGGGCTGTGGAAATTTTCATCATCTGGATTAAACATTTGGTTTCTCGGATGAGTTTTATTTATCGTATAGAGATGGATCCGTCGATGTCTTCGATCGCTTGTGCATAGCTCTCGCCTCCAAAGCCATCTCAGAATCGTCTGTGCCATGAGTGTGTTTACAGGAGTTATGGCGTCCACCGCAGTGTTTATTGTTTTTCTTATAATGATAAACTATTTAACGTTGGCGGAGAAAAAGGAGTACAAATTGGGTCTTCTCATACCATATTCTACGGTGATTCCACATTTCGAACACGACTTTAATAAAGGAGAATCTTTCGCAGCGGCTATGACAATCGCGGTGGAGAGATTAAATGCAGATCCAACGATTTTGGCCGATTATAATGTTACATTTGTATGGAAAGACACCAAGTGCGATGAATTGATTGCTGTCTACGAGCAGTTAAATCAAATTAATTCTGGAGTTCAAGCGTTCATAGGGCCTGGATGTAATTGTCAAACTGCTGCCAGGAACGCGGCGGCTTTCAACATGTCCATAATCTCGTTTGTAAGTATCATGTCTTCTCATGTTCTGAATTTTATGATATTTTCATTATGTTTTATTGTGATGTTTTGTCTTGAGTTTTGTAATTTTATATAAGTTTGTTATTATGCGCTTTTCTAGAGAAATCACGTAGACCTCCTCTCGTAAGGGAATCACTAGTTTGTCAGTTGGCTTCGAGTCAGTTTCTAACTGATTTTAGTTTACCAGCTGCCTCTTCGCCCTTAACGTTCGTATTCAAAACATCGCTAATTGCTCAGTTTTTGTTCTATTTGAGCTTCCTGAATATTTCATCGTGTTCCGTAATTCGAAGAATAGCCCCTTTCAACAGGATCACTGCAAGCAACTGCCGCTCAATTTCATCGTTCATTCGATTTAAAGTGAGATGCACATTCAAGATATGCGGTGAAGTTAACTAAACTTGGCATGAGAAAGGGCAGTGTCAATCATTTTATCATGAAATCCTTCTTTCATTAAATCCTCGCAAAACACCACCGCGTCGCAAAGAGTGTCGCAAATTTGAACTATTACCATTTTGAATTATTCGTTTACCGGTGCCTCATTCAAACTCTGTGTGATTTTATTGATATAAAGTTTACTTCCTCGCTGCGAAGAAAAGAAATTTTGGCCTCATTTGTGCAAATATATATATTACTCACTTTCTATTTGACAATAAGGTTTTAAAAGGGTTTTCGGCTGTCAATATTACTTTCATGCAGATTTCCGAACCCGCTGTTTTTGATCTAAACTCCCTTGTTTCATGCGTTTGTATTCGTAACGCGTTTGTCTCCAGTTCAAAAGAAACGCCTGAGGTGCTGTGCGTTTCACATACACTGGTTGCGAACTCATCCCACTGTTCCATACCTCTGTTTAAGATCGCCCTCTTTCGCTTATGAGGTGTAAACAACTTAAAAGTAAATGTGATTTGTGTTTCTGTTGTGATTCACGTGGCGGTTACTCCGGGTTACGTTTCAGAAGTGGTTTTATCTGTTTGGCATTTTCGAGATGATACTTCAAGTTGACAATTTCCTTTTAAGCTGGGAAGTTACACTCAAACAAACGAACAAACATCCAAATGCGGGAAGAAGAGAACTTGTTATTTCCTATCATTTCCTCCATGTACCATTAATTTGCTAAATGGAAATTCATGTTATTTCAAAACGGAGAGAAAAGATATGACATCGTTTATGTTGAAACTATTTTTAAGCAGTGATTCAGCAAATATATTGCTTGGTATTCTCAGCTCAACACTCAGTTCTTTAATACTCTTAACTTCAAAAGTTGTTTTGATTTTTTAGTCCGACATTTATTGCTGAGAACATCAGCAAGAAGCATTAGTTATGAAAACATACTTGTGGTCTTAGCTACTTGAGTTGGAGTCGGAATGCTCTAATACCTCTTGATTTGAATAGCTTCCCTATGTTTTCATGTAGACTTTTAGCCAAGATTGTTTTCTGGTTGGGCTGAAACAAGGGAAGTGCATGGTGCTATAAACTATACATAAGTATTGTGACATGTGTCTTGCATTATGATTTACTTTTGTTTTAATTAAAAGTTTTAAATTCCACTCAGCTGTGTATTTTTCCATTTTTTGGATGATTCCAGACTGGTTTTCATCGAACCGGAAAATGTTGCACTCTACATTTATTATTCCACGCTTGAAATTTTGGAGGATGCAAATTCTGCGCCTATGTGTAGGTCAAATCCTTGACAGGAGCTTTGTTTCAATTGAGGGAGCCATTTTCTTTCTTTCTTTTTAAAATTCTTTTGAATATTTGTGAGAAATTTCAAGCTAACAAGAGACACTCTTTCACTCTCTAAAATTTTGTTACTGAAATGTTTAAATCTTGGATGCTCACAGATTTGAATTAATTTCAGCCGCTTGTCAAGGGTTTGGCACTCCACATGAGCTTAAAACCAAATTGAGTATTTTTGTTGGCTCAAATTACAAAATTTTCTTGTTATTGTGAAGTTTGAAATTAACTTGAAATAACTGTGAAAAAAGTCATGTTGAGTCTTTACATTATCAACGCAGTTTTTACAAGCTTGACCATTTGTGCCAGTCTTGATGCAAAATTTAACTCACTGTTGATATTCATTTCAAAAATGATTAATTATTGAATATTGCTGTGTGAGCCTAAAGGAGCTGTGAAGATCAATAGATCCATCTGGGAAATTGCTGCCAAAATTAAAAATTTATAACCAGGTTGAATACGCTAAACCCCACTGGAAGAAACTACTCACTTTTATTATTAACGATATAAAGACAATGTGACTTGTTATGGGCAGAGTGACAATGCCAAATTGCTCAAATTTACAATGTCTTAGTTTTTGTATGAATAGTGGTATTGCATTAACCCCCTGCTAAGAAATTCAGTGATTCTGTATAATATAAATACATCTTTTTTGCCACTAAACAACATGTGCTGTCTTAAAATGAAACTTCATAAGATTACCAAATTCAAGGAGCTAATTTGGTTACTTAGTCTATTGAACTGTGTTCTTTATTGTTTGGTGGTTTAATTTGCAGCTTCTGTTGTGAATAACTTGTATATTAAATCTCCAAGAGAATTCAAAATTATCTTTGTCTAAAGCTGTGCTTTATGAGATCCTTGTTTGGTGAATTTTGTCAGAGCTTTTTGAAGTACATGTATATCCCATGAACAGCTGTTGATATGAGAGTAAAGCAAATAGCAAAGTCAGTTTTTTTTTTCATGAAAAGTGGTTTAACTAGCCTTCAAGGTTTTCAGAAAGAAATAAATTATGTGAGATCTGAGGACTTCAGAATTTAAGCCAGTGTTGATGTATCAACTACAGTGGTTTTAACTTTATGATCAAGTCATCATATGAAGTGATGACTGTACCTGCTATCAAAGTGCATGTGAGTGATTTCCTTTTAACCTGTTACTTTCAAGATTGAGGAAAGGACTATTAAAATATTACAGTTATACAACTTGTTGATATAAAATCTTTGGATATTAGCTTTCATATAATAAAATTTAAAAATTCTGCTTACCTCACCCCTTAAACCCCAAGAGTGACCAGTATCTAATTTTTCCACACAGTACTACTGCTGAATCAGTCTTTAAGTTTATGAGAATAAAGGAAACGATCACCATCTTAAGAAGCTTTGATTATGAAACCAATTCTCCCTGTTAGTATCAAAGGGAATTTGTACATAAGAGTTTGGAAAATATGGATACTTATGTTAGATTGCAAATGTTAATCTTCACTGTTCCTTTATTACCAAGGGGTAATTAAAATAATATGAGTTTCTATGGAGTGTATCAAATGAATATATTACCATTTAGAGAAGGCATGACACAAAAGAAAAATATTAACTTGGGGATACTGTTTGATTTTAACGCCACATTTCAGAGATAAAAGGAAAAGTTATATTTAGCACACAGTGTGAAGAATGGGTATTTAGGTCATAAGAGCAAGAGTTTAACAACTTAACTTATTAACTCCCAGGATCTGATTGTTAATTCTCCCCTCCAGCTTCTACACATTTCCTTGTAAATTAGTTACAAGAATTTGGTGTGAAATCAAGATAACAAATTCTATGGGATAAGTTTGAGTATTCTCTTTACCTGTTTGCTGGTTAACCCTTTAACTCCCAGATCAAATTTGTAATTCTCCTTACTGTTAACCTTACAATTCTTGAAATGTTAGTTCTGAGAATTTAGTATTGGATCAACTAATTATCCCTAACTTGATATTTTTCTTTATTCTCATCACTTACTGGTTGATATTGTATAGATATCATAAGGGAAAATTCTGTCTTGGTCATTCATGGGAGTTGAACGGTTAATGTATTAATTCTGCCTTTTTTTTGTTTTAGATGTGCAGTGCTGCAGAGCTATCTAATAAAAAGAAATTCCCCACATTCTCTCGCACTTTTGCTGTTGACAATCAAGTTGCTCCCAGTATCATCAGTCTGTTAAAATATACCTACAATTGGACTAGAGTCGCTATCATTGTTCAGAATACAACAAAATGGATGGATTTGAAAAACTACCTTGTGGAGGAATTTGAAAAAGAGAGAATAGATGTAGCAATGGAATACACAACCGTGAACCCCGTGCTTTATGAAAGAAAACATGAGGCACAGTTTCGTGATGCACTGAAGGAGCTCAAGAGTAAAGCACGTAGTAAGTCATTTGAATCATGATTTGTTATCTCTGCTTCTGGGTTCCAGATGTAGCCAGATCATACTGTTGTGGGTTTTTGGGGCTTTTTTAGAATACAGGAAATGACCACCCACTCCAGAAGCTCTTGATTGTTGAACAAATTCTCCTTGTCAATAACACTGGAAATTAAGAGAAAACATGATGGGGAATTATGCATACTGATGTTGGTGTGTGAAGGTTAAGGATAATGTAGGAAATATTACGTTTATTTCTATTATTATTGGCTCAGTGTCTGAGCATTGGAGATACAAATGTGATGGGCTGGGTGTTGATTCCTGTATGTAATGTAAACTTTTGACTCAGTTTTTCCTTTTTGTTTTTACCCTCATGACTAAGCAAAGAACAACTTTCTTCATTCCACAACCAGGCAAAGATTTTACTTTCTTTCTTATTCTGTCTTTCAGTTGTTCTAGTTATTGGTAGCTACACCATTAGCCTGGAGACGCTCTACCTTGCAAAGCAGCAGGAAATGATCAATGGAGACTATGCATTCATCTTATTTGAGTTAGATCAATTGACAGTGAAGAGGAACAATAAGCTAAAGTTCTTTTGGTTCGAGCAGCAAATTCTTTTAAAAAGGTTGGTATTTAACTGGCTTTAACTCCCGAGATCTGATTGTTAATTCTCTCCTTTAGTTGTTACACACTTCCTTGTAAATTAGTTTTGAGAATTTGATGTTAGATCAAGACAACAAGTTCTACCTGATGAGCTTGAGTACAGTATTGTCATTATTCTCATTATTCTCATATGGTGAGAACTGTTGGAGGTAAATTATGGTTTACTTGTAACACATAACCCTGTGACTCATTTTGCCAAAAGCATGGTTACCACAGAACAAGGAAAAGTTAGGGACTTTCACTTTGACTCAGGGAAAATTTACATTTTTGAAAGAAGTCAAGGAAAAGTGAAATTTCTAGTTAATATAAAGTTGTTCATTTTGTCTTGGCCCTCTTCATGATGAAAGATGGTGAAACTTTCCTTATTGTAATGTTGATGTTACTGGTATACATTGTGTAGTACAGTTGACAGATTCCTGACCGGCATATTCTTTCCCTTTGTAATGCAAGTTCAAGTTGGTTCATGAAGGATAATGATAAATTATTTTAAATATATTGCCTAAATAAAGGAACTATCAATTTATGTATGACCAAGAATTTTTTTTAATGCGACCATTTCATGATTGATGTCAATTGAAGGTGAATTTTTGAAAAGATGAGCTTGGAGCCCAGAAATGGCTAGCTTCCTGAAAAGATATCTTGATATGAACTATTTGAGGTATTCATCTGTCAGTTGTTCTTGATGGAAAAAGCTGAGACAAGATTGTCTGCATTTCTATTTCAGAAACATTAGTAAAAGTGACATTCCAGAAGCTATGCAGGCAGCACTTGTTTTGGCGGTGAAGAATCCACGTGGAAGTGGTTATGAAAATTTTGTGACTCAAGTCAAGCTGAAGACATCAAAGAGTCCTTTCTTCAGTATGACATATAATAAATCAAATTTGGCATTTGCAAACAGTGTAAGTACAAATATAAGCAGAAATCTTTTTGGAAGATATTAATAATCAGAGGCAAAAGTACTTGGCGCACTTCCCCTTGAATAGGGGTTGACAACCCTCCATTAAACATAATAAGCAAAAATCTTGTAATTCTTGTCTAATAAGTTTCTCCACCCACCTCTGCTCCCCTAGGCAGTGTAACCTGGTGGTTACCAATTTTTGATGTCTACACCAGAGCCAGGTAACATTTACATGGGGGAGAGGGGGAGGGGGGTAAATGAGTTATAAAAAAATTTAATAGGTATTAGAGTGTGTGCTAAAACTTTTTTCACTTCCTGTAGGTCTCTTTAAAAAAAATTGTCAGAAGAGGCTGGAAATGTAACAATATTATAATTATGGTCTGCTTTATGACATGATAATTGTCATGTCTTGCTAGGAAGTGCGTAGCAACATGTGCTATTTATATGAAGTTTTTCTGCTAGACTGACATCATAGAAATGTTAAGAATATTATAGGATCTAATTCTTTTGGTCCATGTCATAAGTTATGGTTTTTCCCTCCTGTGGTTTGTTGCTCATGAGCCTCATGCTTACAGAGCCTGTGTGTGAATTTTATCTTCCTGTGATAATAGCATGATATCTCACATTAGTGAGTGAGGGGAACAAGTGAGAGATGCTATCAACACAGGGGCATATCCTCAACCCTTTCACCCCTAAGTATGACTAGCATCTAGTTTCTCCTTACAATATTACCCCTGAATCACACATTAGAGTCACAAGAATAAAGCAAATGGTCACCAACTAAAAAAAGACTCACGACTGTTAAACAGGTTCACCTTTTCAGCACCTTAGGAATACTCTAGAGATCAGTAAGGAGAATATGCATACTGGTGCTAGGGTGTAGAGCTATCAAGCAAGCAAGCATGCAGCATTTTCCTTTTCATATAGAGATGATTTGAAACATACATTTTAAGAGTAGGGAATGAGCAGTTTATCTGGTGAAGTGCCACTTCAACTCCTGACATTTCAGTTAAAAAATTTCTTTTCATTGAAAAAAAAATTTGATGGTTATTCTGCTTGTAGGGAGTGAATGAATGTTTGATTTTTTTATGCAGCCTCCTATATATGCTGGGTACTTGTACAATGCTGTATACCAATTTGGCTTAGCACTGAACAGATCTCAAGCCCTTCTAGAATCTGAGGGACAGAATAGAACCCCTACAGGAGCAGACATATCCGCACAGCTTCGGGATTACACCTTTGATGGTTAGTAGAAACAGTAGGTGCTGTTAGCTATTATCAAATGACCTGTGTCAGGTCTTCTCAACTGCACAGTGTGTCTTGAGTTGGTCCTGACCTTGAACAAAGTAGTTTCACCTCAAGTACAAACACTGTATTTCTGTTGGGAGATACTTTTAGGTTGTATGGGTTTTAGTGATGAACTCAAATGGAGAGGCCAGGGGTAACATTTTAGCCACCCTATGGATGCTCCAGTGTGCTTCTTTACATCTGTGGAAGTATAGAGAGGTTTTAGAAAACTGTGAGGAAAATTCAACAAGTTATTGACTGGTTACTAGCAGTGATCAGCATTCCATGAAGAGCGAATTACTCCTTAGCAGAAACACCCCTACTCGCTTTATGCTGAATAAATCAGGATACACTCTGGCAGAATGAACTGCTTGGCTTGGACTTTTTTTTTGTTGTTGTTACATTTGACAAAAGACTGCTCATTGTTGATGACTCCAGAACTGCAAAATTTGTTATTCATGTCAGCATAACAGAGATCTCTTCCGAGGGGAATCTTTGCTTAGAGGGATGTGTCATTTGATCTTGTAGTGTGATCATCTGGATGAAAGTGGGTCAGACGGGGGTGGTTGGCCCTAATATAGAAACTGATGTTTCAAGAACCTTAGTGGAAGTCACCATAGAGTGGCTGCTACAGTAGTAGTAGTCACTAACAACAGTCCTTCTCAGTACTACTCTCACCTGGATAATCAGACTACAGGATTTCCTGTTGCTCCTTGGTTTAAACTTTTGTATGATTGAAACAATGTCTGTAATGTTTTAAAGTCAAATTTAACCTGTTTTTCTTTAATTTGTACTTGTGACAGGCATTCAGGGTTACAGAATACATTTGGATAACAATGGGGATGCACAATTCAACTTGACTCTGCTAGATGTCAGAAAAAATCCACCTCACAGCTTTTTTGCCTATGGTGAGTTATAGGCCTAAACTGAATATAGCATGCATGAACAGGGCGTGAAATTGGGCCTAATACAGGGGCCAATGCGACTAACTTTTTCACTTTGGGGACCAAATCCTGGAAATTAGTTGCCAAATTGGCGACTAGAATGTTTCATCATAACCTTACCAAGAGATATAGTGAATTAAAAAGATTTGCAAAGATAAATCCATCGCAAACTTCCTTGTTAAGTTTGTTTCCAAAACGCAACAGATGCATCTCGATTGATAGCTAGACGTCATCTTGGAATTAAGTGAGCTGTAAGGTTGTATATTGTCCATCTTAGAGTCCACTTTGTAGCGTGTTAAAGATCTTTTCCCAGACTTAATTTTGGAGGGTCTATCTAGAATGCTGACAGCTTAAAAGAAGGTTTTGTTTGTCTTTGAAAATGGCGACCAACTTTTTTTCACTTGGCTACCACTTTGAAGAATTTAGGAGCCAAGTGGCTATCAGAAAAAAAAATTTATTTCACGCCCTGATGTATCAATTTATTACTGAAGCGTATGACATGTAAGCTAACTGTAGTCTCAAAAAAAAGACAAAGCAGTGTTTACTGGTATGTTTGTGAGTATAGATATGTGTTGAGCCCAGCTCAGAGTCATTTTAGCCCAAGCTGCTAGGCAGGGGATAAAAAGACTTCCTGAAGGGCCCTAAACAGATTTATGCTCGAGGACATAAACTTTATGTAATAACTGTAATTATAACTCTGGTGTGCATTGAGAACATTAAGAACTGAAAAAAATGACTACAAAATGGTCTGAAGTGTTACACAAGCTTGTAAGTGGGCTAAAATACATTTTAGATAACAGAAATCTCTATTTTAGGTGTCAAAATGCAGAACAATGCCCAACAAAGTGATGATAATAGACAGTAACTTCTGTGTATGATATCAGTTGACACAGAAATATTTTCCTAAAATCAATTCAACATGAAATCGTTGTGATGATCAACAACAATTTTGAAATTGTCTAATTTAAAAATAGGATTGTTTAATGTGTGCAGAACTCAAGAAAACGTTACTGCTGTCTTTTAGTTAACTTTTGGTTTGCTCAACCAGGATGTCACCCATATTTTTTTCTTAGCTGGTTGCTCCTCTTTCCTCGCCAATAATACTCTATTTTTTTTTCTGACAGATTTTGTTGAAGTTGGAGATTTCCAGATAAAATATGGTAATTTGTCTGGTAACAGGTCTCAGACAGGTTTCCCTCACCTGGTGTTCCGGAAAAACTTAACCAAAGTGTGGGTGGGGGGAAGTAGAAAAGCACCTAAGGACCGTCCCGACTGTGGATTTGACAATGAGCTGTGCCCTGATCCAAATGGGGAGTCTCCAGGTAATGTTGAACGTACAATACTTGTGTTTTAATTAGTTTTACATGATGAGCTGAATTATACACACAATTGGATTGGTTCCCACTTATGTTCTATTGGAGTACAAATGCACAGATGACTTCACCATAAACAAAATTGTACTTTGTTATCACATAAAACAAACATTGCGTAGATGTCATGTTATCATAGGTCTGTTCAATAATTGGTCAAAGGAGGTGTCAAAATATGGTATGGACATCAGCGACACAAATGGCTGCGCCTTGTTTGCCCCTTTTTTGTTCTTATCACATTTTATGTCATCTGTGATGTTTACTGTTAGCCCTTTAACAACTAAGAGTGACTGGCATCTAATTTCTCCTTACCAGATCACCCCCTGACTAAAACATTAAGGTCATGAGAATAAGGGAAATGATCAACAACTAAAGAAGCTCTTGATTGTTAAACAAATTCTCCTTTTCCATACCTTAAGAAATGTACAGAGAAAGTATGGAGAATATGCATACTGATGTTAGGGTGTAAAGGGTTAATTGTTGGGTGGTCATGAAGAATGCTCAAGCTACTACTCAGAATTTTCCAGCAAAATACATGTGTCAATGGCCTGAGATGTTTTCTTTTTAAATTCAGACATGAAGACTATTTTCCAGTTACTTTACACACTCTTCTTTACTTCTTTTAACTCCTAGAAATGATCAATCTGTGACTTCTCCTCATGGTTTCAATGCATTTTCTTTCAAAGAGTTGATGAGAACAATGAAACTCATCAGCCAGAATTTGCTGTCTTCACATAAAATTATATATTTTTTGTTTTTTTTTCATGGAGGACTAAGCTTAAAATTTGTCTTTTATTCTATTTGCACATTTTGTCATATATCAGCTCCTGCTAATTTTTTTTCTTGCTAATTAATCGGGAATTTTTCAACTGTGATCACCATTCCATCCTCATCTAGACAACAAAAAAGAAATCATTGCTGGAGTTTCATGTGGTCTGGGTTTCCTTGCCATTCTACTTGTGATAAATTTAGTCAGGTAAGTGACAATGTTTGCGCCTTGTGTGACTGTTGTCAAAATCATGTGTGAAAATATAAAAAGTTTCAGTGAAATTAACCCTTTAACTCCCAGAAGTGATTAAATGTTCCCTATAATATCGATACATTGTCCACCAAACAGGTAATGAGAATCAATAATCAGGTAGAAGTTTTTATCTTGATCTAACGCAAAATTCTTGTAACTAATTTACAAGGAAATGTGTCGTAGCTAGAGGGGAGAATTAACAATCAGATCTTGGGATTAAAGGGTTAAGGAGTTGAAAGAAGATTAGAAACTATAAAAGTATACGCGTGGTAGAGCTTGCTGTGCAAAATACAAGATGGTAGATTAAGCTTTATCCTGATAGGGTTTGCTCTTGAATGTGTGAGTTAACCAATTTTACGGATGTTTTCAAAATTTTGGCTTGTTCGTGGAGAACTTTGTCATGGTTTTCCTCTATGTACTCATTATCAGTTATGCATGACCATAAAGGAGACCTTTTTTCTTTACTCCGTTTTGTTTTCTTGTTTTCCAGACAGTACAGGTTGGAAAGAGAACTGAAAAGTAGATTATGGAAGATTGACTATAATCAACTGGGCTTTGAGCGAAGAGCATCAAATACCTCGTTAGCAAGTGCCATGGTATGTTTTTTTGACCCACAAGAAACGCCGATCATGTCGGATATTAATGCACCTACAGGCCTTCAAAACTTCTGAAAAGCAATTTCTGGTTGAAGGGCAGACTCAGACTGATATTTTTTCTTTTTTGTAACAGAGAGAGACAAATGAAGAAGCCATGCCCCTGTTGAGGGAGGAGAGCAGCGATGGAAAAATCACAACTGTAGGAAGCTACAAGGTAATGTGAACCATTTGGGACGTAACAGAAACTAAGAGTCAAGTCAAGAAAAACCAAAGCTTTCCCGGATTCCTCTCTACACTTAATCGAAAATATCTTTACCGAATTAACGTAAATTGATCGATTTATAGTGGTAATAGGACCGACATGAAGTCCTGTTATAACTACCAATTAATCAAGACTATGACAAAATTTGAGAAAGAAACTAGACATCGGTTACACGTTTTAATAAAAAATAAAATAACAGTTAGCTCGGCGAAATGCGAGACAACATCGCCCGCACGTGACGCGTTCTGTCCACTTACACAGGCACGACGTGTTAATTGTCCCTTTAACTGGTATATTACACTGTCCAATTAAAAGTACGACGCGTACACGTCCTATTAGTGCTCATATCGATTGGCGATAACCCATCGCGTTCGAGAATTTTGTGTTAGTTTTGATTAATCAAGAAACTTTTCTAACTTGCAGGGCAATATGGTTACAGTGGCTAAACTTCCTAAAGGTCATTTAGATCTGACGAGGAAAGTTCTTTTGGAGCTAAAACAGGTATTTCGTTTGTTTGACACAGATATACTAAAGAACAGATTGTAATATGTATTGTCTCGTTTATCATTTCCTCGGTAGAATTGACGAAACACGACGCAATCATTTCTGAAATTTAATGCCTCTGCTATAATCACCTTGTACGAGGTGATTATAGGAAGACAGGACGGAATCCTTTACCAATCAGAGCGCGAGAATATCTCTCTATACATATCTAAGCAATTACTTAACTTTGTTACTTTTGCCGAGAAAGATTTAGAGCGTTCCGATTCTGCGTGGAAAGCAGCTTTCTTACTCTAAGGTATTATGAGAATTCCCACGATGTAAACATTATGCAGCTTACCACTAATCATCGTTCTGTTTGTTTGGATTTTTTCGATAGATGAGGGATGTTAGACATGATAATTTGAATCAATTCATCGGTGCTTGTGTAGAGCCAGAAATTTGCATCGTAATGCAATATTGTTCTAGAGGAAGTCTACAGGTAAGAAATAAACCGAAAAACTTATAAAAGTTATTTATTTGACTTAAAATAAATAAATGTTGGACATTGAGTTTGATAGAAGGAGTAGTGTTATTCTACGCATAAATAAGACTCTCCAGACATGATGTGTCAACTAATTTTGACGCTGAAGAAAGGGATAAGTTTCTTAAGAAACTGTGGTGCTGCGTCGGTGGGAGAGTAAAACAGGTAATTTAGTGTTAACAACTGAGTTGAAAACGTAAATTGGCCACCGTAAAGAATTTGAAGGCTGACGTTTCGAGCGTTAGCCCTTCGTCAGAGCGATTGACGTAGGGCTATCGCTCCGACGAAGGGCTAACGCTCGAAACTTTAGTCTTTAAACTCTTTACGGTGGCAATTTACGTTTTCAACTCAGTTGTTAACACTAAATTACCTAATTTTGACGCTGATTGTAGCTATGGACTCGCTCGCGTGAAAGTCTTTGTAATTCAGTGGTAGGGCATTGGAAGATGAAATCCGAAGATGCGAGGTTCTACTCCTCGTGACGCATTCAGACTTCTTCCCCTGTCCCAAACTTGTTACAAAACAAATAATATTTTCTTTGTTTGTTCCCTGGTATTTAACTATTGCCCCATTCACACCAAAGCTTAAACATGTTTAAAAGTTGTTTTGTTAAACACAGTTTAATTTTTTTTTTCTTCATAGAAACTATTTAACCGAATATTTTTGACTTGAATGTAGCACATCGGAAATGCAAGTTAGCAAGTACTTGAATCCTATGGAAAATCAAGTTTTTCAGTTCTCTGTTTATAATTTTCATTCAATGAAAACCAGTTTAACAAAACATGTTTTGCTGGTGTGAATGGGGTATATGATTTATGTCTCGTAGGATATTTTAGAAAATGAAGACGTCAAGCTGGATCACATGTTTATAGCTTCCCTTGTGGCGGACATAGTGAAGGTAGCTAAATGTCATCTTTGGAGGATACTTGTAAGACCGTTGTTGGTCCATAAGATCATAACCCTTTAACCCCTAAGAGTGACTAACATCTAATTTCTCCTTACAACGTCACCCCTGAATCAAACATTTATGTCATGAGAATAAAGGAGATGATCACCTACTAAAGAACCTCTTGATCGTTGAACAAATTCTCCTTGTCAGAACCCTAGGAATCGTCTAGCGAGTAGTATGGAGAATATGCACGCTGATGTTAGGGAGTAAAGGGTTTACTACGTTAGCTAAAATTCGATGAAGTCGAGGGAGACAAGTTCTTTTATTCGCAAATTCTAAATGCACAATCATTTCCTTTCAGGGTATGGCATACATGCACAGTACAGATGTAAAATCTCACGGTAATCTCAAGTCTTCTAATTGTTTGGTGGACAGCCGCTGGGTGTTGAAGATCACCGACTATGGTCTCCCTTCTTTTAGAAACAAATTGAAAAAGAACAGAGAAGACTACGCCTATTATCGAGGTGAGAGGATTCTCAGGGTGTTGAAAGTATTTTCCAGTAGCCAGTGTCGTACGCTAGTGTTTTACCAGCATATTGGGGATTGTCAAGTTTATTCTTATGAATAAGGTCTTTTGCGGAAAACAAACAAACAAACCTGAAAAACAGGGTGCTTCCACGTCAGGACCTCCTCCTCTTATTTTACGCCTTGACCTCCCATGAAAATTCAATGTGAAAGTGAATTAAAAATCCCTCACCTTGTGATGAGGGTCAAATATTTTGGAGAGGACTAAAACAAGAGAAAAATGCGGGAAAAAAGCTGTGGAAAGTGTGAAATAGGCAATCGATCTGGTGGAGAAAATATTGCTCGTCCATTTGCAAAATGTATTTTTCCTTCCGGAAAATAGATCTTATGAGCGATAGCATGCAGTGTTAAGCTTTATGAAGCCGTGGCTAGCTTGTCTCATCATTTCAAGTACATCCTTGCTTCCTGTCGCGAAACCTCAGGTCGTAAGACCACACCTCATGTTTTGTCACGACACCTCACGCGCGATTTGTGACGATACTTTTGTCACGTGAAATCATGTCATGCCACTTCATGTCTACTTATTGTTTCCTACCGATTTCCAACAAAAAGATAGAAATGAATTGACATTGAAGGTCCTTTGCATCCTTCTTTGTAGACTTACTTTGGGTAGCTCCGGAACTGTTACGAATTCCAAATCGTTCTTTGAGGGGAACCCAAAAAGGCGATGTCTATAGCTTTGCTATAATTTTACAAGAGTTCCACACAAGGGAAGGTCCTTACAGTGCAAATTTCATGGAACCAAAAGGTTAGTTGGCGCACTGTTGATCAACGATGATAAAAAGCATCGTTCATTTGATCACTGTTTTAACTGCTTGTTAAAAACTCTTTGGTTCATTTTGCTGGTAGTTATTCCTTTGAAATCATGGTTAAATTTTCGTAATTTGCGTTCTTTGTTGCCGTAGACATTATCCGTAGAGTAAAGGATGGTGAGTTCCCACCCTTCCGTCCGACAGTTACAACATTGATAACTGGTGTGGAGGAGCTACGGGAACTGATGAAGCAATGTTGGAATGACAACTCGGAAGAGAGACCAGACTTTCACGAGATTAAAAAGATCATGCACAAAGTTCTGGTCAACAACGGCATGTAAGTTGACCAGATTTCCAGCATCTATATTTGCCTTGACCAGCCTTCACTTGTGAAGGACGAAAGGGAGGATTAGAGTCAGTATTTAGCTGGTCAACTGCTTTTCCTCGCTGCAATTTTTATTCCATGCGAATTTCGTTTAATTGGTTTTATGGTCTTCGTCACAATAGCCAATTTTGAGGAGAGGTTTTTGAATATATTCAGAGCTGAACGATTAGAGGAGGAGAGGATTATTGAATTTATGAAACTGAAGGAAAGGTTAAAATTTTGTAATGTAGCGAAAATTTCCCTCCCCACCCCCTTTTATGCCCTGTTGGCGACGACTGATTCTTACTCCGTTCCCCCTGAAAACCATTTGATTTCTCCCTCCCCCCCAAAGAAATCCTTCACCCCCCGAACAGATCGCAAGAAGCTTAGAGGGGAAAGCAAAGCTTAGATCATTGTAATCAAACGATACGTGCCTTTGATGTTCCCTTAATAGGAAGACGAATATCTTCGATAACATTGTTTACATGATGGAAAAGTACGCTGATAACTTGGAGGAGCTTGTAATGGAAAGAACCGGTCAGCTGATTGAGGAGAAAAAGAAGACGGATGCACTTCTGGAAAGAATGCTACCAAGGTGCGTCAACATTTGGTAACAGCGGACGAGTGGTGCGCTCTTTTAGAGATTTCTTGGATGTAATATTTCAGCTATTAGTAACTTGAGTAACTTAGTCATGTAGCTAGAGACACATTCTCGTCTAGCTTTATTACATGTCGAAGAACTGAAGGTACAAAAGTACTGATGCTCGCCCAGTAGCGGAAACAGACGATGACGTAGGTATGATGTTATGAAGGATTTGTGGGCGGGTTGAACGGACTGACATATTCGTAGTTTTAAGGTTAAGTTTGTCAGAAGTTGTCCTAACAAATCCAGTAAAGAGTTTGTTCCACATAAGTACGATTTTAATCCATAATCATTGCTGTGCTAGTTAAAACGCAATATCTCCGAACCATGGAAACCTTTAGAGGGGTTTATCTTGACGTTTAGGTTTCGCGTTTGCTTCTATAAGAAAAAATTGGTCCAAAAGGTGGAATTAGATAGACAGTTTAACTGTGCGAAGAGGACTGTAAACGATAAGGTGGACATGGTACCGAGGCTCGATTTTAAAACTCAACGAACGCATGTACATTCGGCTTGATTGCGCGATCTAAGACTTAGGTAAGACTCACGGAATTTTGCCCCTGGAACTCGAGAAAGGTAACGGACGGAAAATAGCTAATGACCATGAATCAGTCAGAACCGGATTTACACTCGTGCTGACGCACAAGATTATGTCAGGAAGTTAGGAAGTCAAATCCAAGAAAATATCAGAAACAAAGACAGTCAGCCAGTTTTAAAGAAGTTGCGGAGATCGACAGACCTATTCATAGGAAGGTAAACGTCCTCAAAGACAGTCAGCAAATTTTAGAGGTTGAAGAGATGGATGGACAACTCCATACTAGGATAAACGTCTTTGTCAGAGATTTCTCAGGGTGAGTGTAGCTGGTTTAAGCTGAATTTGTTATCACGGTTTTCATTTTCTGCGTCGAGTTGGACACTACTTGGCTTCGCACTAATTCCTTTTTTGGTCCCATTGCAGACCTGTGGCTGAGCAACTCAAGAAGGGCCAAGAGGTAGAAGCAGAGAGTTTCCATGAAGTGTCAATCTACTTCAGTGATATCGTAGGATTCACCAGCCTCTCCTCTGAGAGTACACCGATGCAGGTGCGTTGTTCATTAGTTGCTCTTGTCCCTCCGGGGACAACCGGCAATAAACCGTCCCCCTCACTCTTTCCCCTCTCAAACCAGCATAACCGTATCTTCCAGGTCAGCGTCAGTATCCGAGAAATTATACATCTACCTCTCCTTAACCCCAACATTAACCCTAGTTCGGTATAGGTTGACTGTTGTTTGGTTAGCTGCGCAGTTGCTCGGAAACTAACATTTATCACAACTTCCAGTGAGATTTCTAAGTCTTTAATTCATCTCTCACTGTAGCTCTTGTGGTATACTTTAAGATCTCTTGCAGGTACACAAGCTTAATAAAATCCTCTCGTGTTCCTTAAAATACGGCGAATAAGTCAAGCGTTCATTGTTTTTTTCGGTGCATACAGTGCGTGGCTAGGCTAAGCCAGTGTATTCCTGCTGATGTAAGTTAAACGGCATTTTCTTTTATACAGGTTGTGACTCTGCTCAATGATCTATACACGCTGTTTGATAACATCATTCAGGAGTATGACGTGTATAAAGTAAGTGCATATGAGATGTTTGAAATGTAGGAGTTTTTTTCTCCAGGTTGCTCTTGCAAGTTAGTTTAAAACCCGTTTCTTGTATTCAGGTGGAGACAATTGGTGACGCCTACATGGTTGTATCAGGCCTGCCCATCAGAAATGGCCATGAGCATGCTGGTGAGATATCCCGGATGGCACTGCATCTCGTGGAGGCTGTGCAAACGGATTTCAAAGTTCGACACCAACCGGATCATCAGCTTAAGCTCAGGGTTGGACTTCATAGCGGTAAATCGTAATATGATTGTGTTCCATAACTGAACAAGTCGTACCAGACAATGTAGACCATTCAGAGGGCAAAGGGAAAGTTTAATTAAACCTTAAATCAGTGTTAATTTTTTATCACAGAATTTCTCCCGTTTCAAAAACATGATATCTTCATCCAACGACCATGCAGTGCAACCTTTGGCTGTTAACCCTTTACATCCTAACATCATTATGCAAGTTCTCCATACAATTTTCCATATGTTTCGTAAGGTGCCGAAAAGGAGAATTTGTTTAACGATCAAGAACCTCTTTAGTTGATTATCATTTCCACTACTCTCGTGACTAAGTTTGTGATTCAGGGGTGGTATGGTAAGGAGAAATTAGACGCTTGTCACTCTAAGAGGTCAAAGGCTGTATAGTTGACATGTGAGTTGGAGTGAGTACGAGTCAATGGTAACTTCTACCCCATGTGTCACTAGTTATACTCGTTGCCTTTTCTCGCAGGTCCAGTTGTTGCGGGCGTGGTCGGTAACACTATGCCCCGTTACTGTTTGTTTGGTGATACAGTAAACACTGCGTCTAGAATGGAATCTAATGGAGAAGGTCAGTTTCTTCAGTATTTTCTATAATTCCCAAGACACAATTTAACGGACAAAAATGACTGTTGTTTTTCTCAATATTTTATGGTGAATGTCTGTGCCTCTTCCTCCTCTCAATATCATATGGCGACAACATTTGAAACTATTCTGGGGAAGGATTTCTCATAAGTTGAGGAGAATTGGCGAGAACTTCAGTTGTCAAAACTTGTACTGACTGCTGCTTGTCTATTATCCAGAGTCTTAGGTTCCTCTGACGTTCCTACAGTCAGGGAAAGCTGTTACTCGCAATGAAAAAAATTTCTGTTTATGATTATTTTCTTGATTCTAGTTAAATCTATTGTGATTCCAGTCAAGTTTATAAACTCCAGATTAGCTACTTGAGCCCATCTTTGTCAGTTTTTCTAGACTTAATGTTCGGATTCTGAAATGTGACACTCACGAATCTAAAAATGATTGCTGATTTCCATATTACAGCTCTTCGTATTCACATCAGTGAAGCCACCAAGGGTATACTCGACGATCTTGGTGGCTTTGAAGTTCAAGAAAGAGGAGAAGTGTTTTTAAAAGTAAGAAAGCGAGATGTAAACTTGTCACTATTATTTGTTTACTTAAGTGAACATTGATCAGCGAACGAAACTCTTTTCGTGAATTGCAACCACATTCATTGAGGGGGGAGGGAGGGGTGGGGGTGGGGGTGGAGGAGAAAATTCGGAGGATACGAGAATCCTCTGTTAAAGAAGTGTACGTCATGTTGTTTTTAATAAGTTTAACATTCTCAGATAAACTCTTTTAATTAGGAAAAAGGCTTCTAACAATATGTCACTTGGAGAAATAAACTCCCAAATGTAAAGAGCGAAACAAGAAACGAGAAAAAACTCCAGGATTGCGAGGATTAACAAGGATTGCATTTGACGAACTTGGAAATTTCAGGTTACTTTTTCCAAGTTGGACAAACGATAATGTACCTGCTATAACCCACGAGTGACCGCGTGCGAACGCAGGCGACAGCCGTGAGAGGCGAGTGCTCTTGCCTCTGTGTCTGAATTCCATGTTACCATACTGTGCTGCCTTGCTAATATGTGTTGGAATGTGCTTACCCTAATATATTTTTTTTCCTTTGTTGTCTTTCAGGGCAAGGGCACTTGCAAAACATATTGGTTGATAAGTGCCGTCAAACGCACCAGCAACAAAGTAAATAAACTTCTTCACCCGAACGGCCAACCCCTCATGAACTATCTCAACGCTCCTGGCCATCATCTCGGCTCTAACAGCTCTCTAAATAATCTTAAAAGAACGGAATCTTTGCGACGTTCAATGAAGGCTTCTCCTAACCCCGTGAAAAAATCTTGGCACAAGGCAGACGACGAATCGGCAGCGCTGCTTAATCAGACTTCTGTGTGACCACTGCACGACTTGGAGCGATTTCTGTGAACGCTTTACAATTTAGTCATGGTTCGTGGTCCAAGACAAGAGAGGGTTCGGGAGATTGTTCGGAAATCTTCGACATGTTCTGGTATTGCTCGAGAAGAATTCCGAGAGATTTTTCAGAGGTGCCAAAGATGTCTCGGAAATGAAGAGAATATTTTGGACTTGTTGGAGGCTCTGAACATCGGAAATTTCTCAAATGTAATGGTATTGCTGCCTTTGTTGTCCGTTTGGATCATGTATTTCCATTTGATGTTGATCTACAAAGCTCGATATTCGTGCCAAAAAGACTATAGGCCCCATTCGCTCACGAAGACCAAATTAGTCTGTGAATTTCCATACGCATAGTTAAAATAATAAATTATCTGTGCTGTAAGAAATCGTTACTTACCACATCACGATGCCTATGAAATAGAAACTCTGTATATATTTTGATCTTAGGTACCAGATTATTTCACACAGTGTGTTCTTTTGAACCTCGCACCAAGCTTTGCGGTTGTATAAATCATGTGGAGGAGTGGTAACCATGTAAACATTTATGTATAGCGTCTAAAATAAGCGATATCTGAGGTGTTAATGTTACTGTATAGCACTCCATTATGAACCTTGTTTATAGCGCAGCCATATCTGCGGCGAACCAGTATATATGAAAGGACAATTAGAGTTAAGTAATCATTTTCACAAGTGAGTTGTGAAGGAGTCATATCTACTCGTCATACTATACGGTGTCTTGTTAATAATAGGAATATGTATAATTGGAGTTTTTTGTTTATTTTTTGAAGCCATTGAGGCGAATTTTGTTCATTCGTAAGTATTCAACGGATTATCCAAGCTCCAGTCGTAACTAAATCTCCCCCAATAGCTTATTTTAACCTTCACCTCCAGGAGTGATTATTCGATAAAATCTCCTTACTTTTCTAACACTGTTAGGCTAATAGGTAATGAGAATTTGGAAAGGTACTGTCGCGAGTGGAAGGGCTACATCGCGAGAGTTCGAGTCACGTTTTGTGCCAGGTAAAACTACTATCAGCTGGAAGAACGTCAACAGTAATAATTTGTTTAACCTTTAACTCCCAGAAGTGATAAACATGTAACTTCTCCCTATTGTATACGTACATTATTCAGCAAACAGGTAATGAGAATACTCAAACTCATTAGGTAGAAGATATTACCTTGATTGATCACCAACTTCTCGTAACTAATTAACAAGGAAATGTGTAGCAGTTAGAGGGGAGAATTGACAGTCAGATCTTGGGAGTCAAAGGGTTAAACAGAACTACATTAAAGAAGCTTTGATAGACCAAGAAGATATAGGCCTAGTCAGACGTGGAGAAGATCGTAACTGATCGACTCCAAGAAATTCTCTTGAATTTTTGGGTATGATAAATCTGTGACCAAGTTCAGTTAAGCATAGCATCTGATTTTTACCTTAGACCGAAACTGAACTAAGTCAAAGCAGTCATAACGCCTTAAGTTGTCGTAAATGGCAATAAAACTGTCGTTTGAAATGAAATAAGAAGTCGAATATTTATATCTTTTATGTTAAATTTTTAAATGGACTTAAAAATGAATGCACGATCAGTATTTGGAATACACACCTCTTTTCATATGGGAAAGGTTATCTGGTTCACAAGCCGGACGGAACATGGCGTAGTTTCACCAGCTATCTCACCGTGCAGACGCATACGAAATAACAAAGCTTTTGCCTCTTCTCTCTACCTAATCTCCACATTATAGACCCATTATTGTTCGTATTTTGCTTCGCTAGAAGTTCTCTATCTAACCTCAGAAGCAGAATTAGCAATCTTTAACAATCGGAGTCTGGTACGCCAAGTAATTAATTAAAATAGTGGAAAAACTGTGTTTGAAGCGGAGTTCTTTGTGATTTTGCCAGCTAGCTAATTTGCATTTTGGCAAGAAGCTGGAATATAAAAAACTGCGTGGGTCAACGAATTATGACAACATTCGATTCAATAGCTTTAGTGGAAACAACAATTAAAGAAAAAACTAAATCGTAGAGCAGTGAGCCAAACTTACCTCCATGAAAAAACAAAACAAATTGGCATCGTCCCTGAACCACCTAGGTCATTGTTCAACGTCGATGAGTCTGGGATTGTGGTAAAAGTAATTCTAACTTTGAAGTTTTGTGGGATATTACATTTGTTAAATGAGTAAAAAAGATCCAATTTTTCGGTGGGTAGATCGTACAATTTTGACCTAAAAGAGTGTTGAAAACTGTGGAAGAACTCGGTGAATGTCGTGGTGAAGTAAAATTCTTGTCATTTTGTTAATTCTCGAATATAGAGTTTTTTTAAAATTTATTCTTATGCTTTGTTTACTTTAAAAATTTAATGACCTTGAACCTATACGTAACTGGCTTAAAAAAGAAGAAACCTTCAAATCCAAATGAAATAAGCTGTGTTGATTTTTAAGCCTTGGCCCCGCACGTTGAATAATAGTAATCCCCAGAAATAAGGGAGTAGGATTAGCGCGCGTGTCCGCGGAAAACGAAAAAGGAGGTTCATCGGTCTAATTAAAATTCCATAAATTTAGAATACATCACTTTGTATGTTAGCTGCGCTTAGGCGCTCGTGACAATTTTGTTTACTCTTGCTTTGTTTACCTGAAACAAAACATGTTTACTTTGTTTGTTTTACTTGTCCTTTTTAAGTAAACATTGTGAGCTGAAACTGAATTTTAGGAAATTAATTATTGTGTGTCCAGGCTAAAGAGAAAATTTTAGATTCCCCCTAAATTGTCAACAAATGAACGCTTTTGAGAGGAAAAATAAAAGATTATTAAAGCTTAAAAATATGTTCGCTGGATAAAGAAAATCATTTTGGAAAAAAATTTCTTCCTAATCTGTATTTTGGTTAACACTTTTTTTTCCGTCAAAGGAACATAGTCATACATATGATTTTATCGTGAAACATTTTCTCTGTGTGTATGTGGTCACCAAAACTTTCTCAATGTGACAGTTCTGGTTCGTGCATCTGACGTTCAAATAAATGCTAATCATGTTCCATATCTTTTGTATGGTGTGAATGCACTCAAGATTCAGGTTGTTTGACTGGCAAGTACTCAGCAAAATTCTCAAATTCATAAAGGTTCTGAGAATCGATTTTCAAAACATTTCAAGAGATGGAGCGAAGAAATGAATATTGAACAACAAAGTTGTCCTCATCATCGTTACTGTTAGCTGTAAACATTCTTACTTATTCACCAGTGTTACAAACAAAAAATTACAAGGTTTAGTGGATTCATTTTTCTAGAAAAATCGTGTAATCAACAGCGTCAAATTTCTGCGTCACCGTTTAGGAAGAAGGTAAGAGATCCTACCCAGTTTTTCGCCGCACTTAATTGACGAGAAAGCAGTAATTATTGGGGCTCGAGTTGTATGAAACACTTTCCTCCTTTCAGAAGAGGCCGATAAAAAAACTGGAAGAAAACTAACCATGGTTTCCCAAATGTTTCCATAATCACAATCTCGTTGCCAACTTCTTCTCGGAATTGTTCCCAATTAGATCGATGCCATGAACACCGCGCAAGAGCTTTTTTTAGACAGAGGAACCACTAGCTGGGAGGCAGTAAATCGATATGACGAAAATGGGTATTTCAAATGCAACAGATCTAAGCAAATCAAATATATTTAAGTGGTACGAAATATTCCGTTCATGATTATATTATAGAGAGGGTAATGCCACGTATTACAAACAAGGCAGAGCGGATAGAAGTTTATTTCTTATGCCCTTAGGGAAATTTAGATAGAAAAATGTGAAAACGTTGTTAATTACAGCCCACAAGGCATTCACACGCCAAGTAAAACCAGACGACAAGGCAGTTATAAGCAAAATGAAATGTAAATTAAGTAGAACCATCTCGCTTTAGAATTTTTCAGTTCTTCACAATATGAATTTTGAAAAATCTAATTACTAGACACAACGATTGTCACAAGTTAAGGATTTTGGTTTCCTCCTTTCAGGTAAGCCTCATAAAATGACTTATTTAGTCCCAGCAAATGTTTATCTACCAGGTGATTTAAAGTGAGCGATATTGGCGTAGCTAGTTTCGATCGATGTCATATCAGTTATTTGCTCCAAAAAGAGAGGAAATTTACGCATGAACAATGTGTATTTGTTGCTGAGAGTAACACCTTAATTAACATAGCAAGATATACGGGTCATATTTATTTACTCTCTGTCGGAGTGCGTTCAGTTTTCAATAAAAAACAACATTGAATAGTTTTCCATTACGGAAAATAGCCCACACTTGAAATTTTCTAATGGATTTTAACCTTTGGTTGAGGATTTTCCGGAAAAAATTATGCTCGATTTTGCTTTCTTGTAAATAGGTTTTCTAGAGAATTTAGACAGAACTTTGGTAAATTTCTTAGTTACTTTGTAACAAAAGACCCGGAGGGACGTTAGATGTTGGCATATAGGTGATGACAAGGCATGACTAAATTCGAAAACAATTTTAGATATTCAAAAAGATTTTAGTTCCAAATTGTCAATGAATTGTGCACGGTAGATCAAAGTCGTGCATCTCGACATCAGTGAAATTTCTCCAAAATGCCACTTAATCTTCTGAGAGAAAAAATAAAAATCCGTGCGCATGGCATGCACAAGGTAGTAAGTCTCTTTATTGAACTGATATTCCTAATACCCTCTGGTTGGCAAAAAACTTATTCCGTAATGTATTGATAAAGCCATAACTATTTCATAAAAGGAATAGACCGCACGTTCTCCCGCTTTACTCGGCGTAATGACCTACCTGGGATGTTGGGAGAAGAGTCGAAAAGATTGCGGTTAATTTACGCACTTTTCTCGTGTTCTCCTAATATCACGAATGCGTATATTAGGCTAGTAAACAGATAAAAAGTGTCGTCCATTGTCAGGATGAACTCCAAGTAAATGTTTGAATATTCCAAATTCAAGTCACGTTCAATTGACCCCATGGTGTTACTCTTCATTAATTTTGCAACGGGAGAAGACCATAAATTGAATATCGTTCCTTCTTTAACCGTCTTTGTTCCTTTATGATATCGGTCGAGAAAGACCACCACATGTTTCCAGTGAAGAAAATACCAAAATAAGCAATCTACATTCCCTAATTTTCTATTTTAAGCAATCATTTTTTTATTTTCGCTTAAGATGATACACATAGTACAAAATCAGTTAGATGAAACAACAAATTTTTTAAACTCTCTAAAGCTGGCTATTTCAGTGGATTTTAAAAGTATATGCTCATTTAACAAAAGCTTGCACAATTGTGGTTTGGCGATGACCAAAGGCTAGAGTGAAAGCTGTTCTCTTTTGAAAAAACAACACTTCATAGATATCCGAATGAATGAGACCTCGATTGGGACTACGAAGAAAAAATTCCGAAAAAGGCTTAAATGTCATTAAAATTCACAACCTGTAGACACAATGGAACAATCAAAGAAATAAACAACACCGATGAAAAAAAAAAAAAGAAAAAAACCTCAAATGTATTGCAAACTATTTTGGGGATCATGGCTGCCTACGTCATTAGTATTCATTAATATTGATTAAGTTAAGAAAACAGTTTTTCGTTCTGGTATAGCTTGTTTTTAACTTTGTCAAGATCAAGCACTACCCGTGATTGTTAACTAAATCCTTTTTCAGCGTTCAATTGGGAGGTAAGATCACTTTTATTTCGAAAATAACGTGGTTAGTTTTTTACCCGAAGTGAATACTGCAAAACTTTTGCAATGAAAGGAAAGCCTTATTTGAAATACAACGCATTTTCTCTGTGTTAATTATTTTAATTGAGTGGTTCCATATTGATCGATTTGTCTGCTTGTATATCTGTAAACTCTAGCCGTTCTCGAATTTAACTAATATCTTCATGTGCTATCATGTTAATATTGTCGATCACATCGCGCAAATCGAGCGAAATCTTGAAAATAGAAAACCTGATTTGAAATTTTAACATGTCATATTCTATCCGTAGAGTCCAGTTTATTAGTTTTTTCATTGTGTTTTGGCGGCCTTAGCTCAGTTGTCTAATGAGTTTTTTTAATTCTACGATCATCAAAAAAATGTTCATATTTTTCAAACTAGCCGACCCCGATAATCTGTTCACACTGAATCATAATAGTGCCGCATGCCATCAGAACACAGTTTGTGTTAAGTGAAGTTTAGAAATAAGCGAGTATTATTTGATACGATATTTCGTGTGCTATAACTGTTTTCTATTGCACAAATAATACTGCACAAATAATGCTGTGTTTGTCTAGTTTAAACCCATAAATATGCACACTGTTTTAGAATGTTAATGTACACGTCAGACTGTTGACTTTGTTTTCAAGTTAGTGACAGCATTGACGGTTAAACGACGGGGTTTAGAATAAATATTTTCGTCCAAAAAAGACTTTCATTTTTTTGAAGCTCAATTCAGAGTGCTGGCTGCATTGTCTATGATAGAAAAACACTGAAGTAGTTCCTTAAATCACTCGAGAATACGTCAACCCAATTGCATGAGATTTGTGTCTGATTTCATAGGCGCAAATGTGGAGATGATACGCATGTGCAGCAATGAATTACCGTAAATCGGGAGCCCATTCGACTTTTCGTGTTGATCGGCACGTCTCAATGTTAGGATCAGTTGCACTTTGTAATAACAGTTGTTGCACATCGTAATAACAGTTGTTGCACTTTGTAATAACGTCTTTCGTACCTTGTAATGAAAAAACGCCCAATGTACTAATAGACCATTGCACTTTATAATAAAATAAATTGTGGCAATTTGTTGTAAACTTTAGTGGTTAGGTGTTCGCAAGACAGGAGGACCCAGTAAGAACCATCATCC